CCATGCTTGCCCTTGTCGCTAGGATTTGGACCAGCTGAAGTACGATGTGGGAGAGCTGAAGGATTTGTTGGGCAACAACAAAGGAGAGGTGAACCACATCCGTCGCATTGTGCTGGCATGCGAGCGTGACATGGAGGCTCGACGCTGGAGTTGGCTTTGCATTGCTTCCTCGCCCGATCCCTTGCCACGCTTGCCGCTTGCCAGGACTTCACTGCTGCGATGGACGCTGTCAATGTGGACCTTGATGAGATGCGCGCACGGGTTGACGCCACTCATTCCATCATTACCAGCCGACAGCGCGTCGAGGCCTGTGCTTCAACAGCTTGGGGCGTCAAGCGCCAAAGCTGCATGTCAGTTTGAGTTTTTGTTTCTGATCCTGACCATTGGCACTTTACACGGGCAGGCAACGATGACTGCTGAGATTTCCACCATGCGTCTTGACATTGGCGATATTCAAGAAGCGTTGAAGAACCATGACTCGTGGATGGAGGATGTCTCCAACACTCTCCAGCAAATGCAAGAGAAGGAGGAGAACCTTACAGAGGACATCATCAACCTCAAGAATGAGATGAACACCAAGCTGGACACCAAGGTGGACAATGTTGCCTGGAAGGACAGACAGTCTGAATGCTTCTGCCTTGTGGCGTTGTTGNNTTTCTGCCAGGAAGCCAATGACGACTTGGATGCTGCCATCAAGACTGTCCGTGACATGGTTTCCTCCCTTCGCCTGGACGTGGACGCCCGTCGCCGGAAAGTAGATGAAATCCTGGCAACTATCAGACACGACATCACGGCAGTGGAGACTAACTTGGAGGAGCCGCGGGACTTTCTTGATGACATGCCTAGGATGTATACCTTAAACCGCACTTCTGCCACGCTTGGTGCAGGAGTCCAAGGCCAAGATCACCAGCGACACAGACCAAGCAGTGAATGCCCTCAATGGTCGCATTGATCGAGCCTGAGGGGGTTGCGCGCCACAAAGCTTACAAGATATTCCAAGATTCTTGCAGCGCATGTGCAGCCCAGGACTTCACCAATAAAGACCTGGCAGCGACACAAGAGAGTCTCCATACGACGCAAAATTCGCTGAGTGACTGCTTCAACGAGGTGGCAGTTGTCCGAAGTGACTTGGAACGAAACGTGGCGGACACAGAAGCGCGCTTGAAGAACGACATTCGCCAGAAGCAGCACCTTGGACAGCAACCTAACATGGCCATAGCCGTAGTGGCTGAAAGTGGCTGTCTGTGCTGCATAGTTTCACACACTCCTGGAGTGGAGGGAATGTTGAAGATTCTTCAAAGATTGCGTTATTTAGCTAACGAGGCAAGAGGCCTATGATAAGATCAACGGCGTGGAGCAACAGGCCAGGCCTAAAGAAGTTCGCTTTGTGCGGGAGAGGGCGAAGTTTCCTCTCGGGGCCTGTCAGCGTGCTTGAGGCAGAGCTCCGAAGCGCGGAGGCCTCCCGCCGGCTGGGGGCCCTGGACCTCCGCATGAGTGGAGTGCAAGGAGGTCTTGGGGAGCACAAGCGCGACATCCTGAAGCTGCGTGAGGCCGGGATACCATGCTCCCAAGCTCCTAAACAGCAGAGATACCTGCAAACCGTGCAAGGAAGTGAATGGGCTGACCGTGAAGAGTGCGTCGCATGAAGTGGATATCCAGAAGAACAGCGATTCTGTTCGCAAGATGGAGAAGCAGCGCAGCTTGGCAACTTTGGTCATAACTGCGATGCCCAAAGCATTCTCAAGCCAGCCGTCGGTTGAGGCAACATGGATGAGCAGAATTGGAAAGCCCAGATGGATGCAGACGCTCGACCAGAATTGTTTGTACCTTCTTTTTGCCTGACTCTGGCCAACGGCTGGTCACGCAGTCGGCCGTGAGGTGCATGATGTCTTGGA